TCCCACAGTCCTAATCTCTCCAATACCCCCGACCACTCACAAACCAATGTTGTAAAGTTCGTTTTGGACATAACGAATTGTACATCGTATTTTTGCTATGGGTCCACCTATATCCCTGTTGAAACGAATCGTTTTCCCCCTTCCCCACCACAAATTATACCGACATGAAATACAGTGAAACAGTTGTTATAAAATGGTGGAGAGACTTACAAAGTAAAAAAGAAATGATCTTATGAATGTGTCATAAACAATCACATGAAAACAAATAAAAAAATATTCGAATACATATCTTAGGGTTCATTCCATTAACATCACCTTATCTGACTTTCTCTGCTTTACTCAAACTTTCGTTTGCATGTTGAACTCGCTAACACTGGTCAGTTCTCCCAGAATGGAAGACAAATTGGACTGGTTACTGTGGATGGACAGTATAAGTGGCTTTCAGCCAAGCTATTATGCAGACCGGAGAAACCTGGGTTAGAAAGATGCAGTCTACTTGTATTTAGAGGCTTATCTCTCCTTTGAGGAAGATGTAGATCATGGAGAATTTGAGCCCTGAAAAACAATTTTGATTTAAGGCGCCGAATTTCTGTGTTGCTCTATCTAGTCGTTTGCATCCTGTGCTTCCAAACACTTTTCAGCTCTCCCAGAATTGCAAGGAATGTAATTGGACCTGTTATTGTTGACAGTATATGGAACAGCATGTAGATTAGGGCTTAGTGAGAAAGTTCGGTGCTGTCCATATATCTTTGGAGGCTTGTCTCTCCATTGGGGAAGGAGTAGATCATCCTCACTTTGGGACCTTAAATCTGCATTTTTACATTCACCATCATTGAGTTCCTGACCGGAAAGGCTGTGCATGATGATACACAGCAGGGACCTCACTGCACAACAACAGGAGCTCAGGAAAGCACCATTCATTTGAGAAGTAGTAGGCAGGCTCTGACAGTCCTGTTGCACCTCTACCAATATAAAGTCTTAAACTTCTTCCTCCACCAAGTCTTGTTCAAATTCCCCCTGTTCATCAGCAGTGGCATCTTGGTACTGCTGCTACTCGGACACCAGGTCGTTGATATTGCTCTCTGCCTCAGTGAACTCCATCTCATCCATGCCTTCTCCCGTATACCAGTGCAAGAATGCCTTGCGCCGGAACATGGCACTGAATTGCTCTGAGGTGCGCTTGAAGGGTGCTTGGTTGGCAGTGTTGTTGCCGATGAAGGTGGCCGACATCGTGAGGCCACGCGGGGGGATGTCACATACAGCTGTCTTCACATTGTTGGGAATCCAGTCTGCAAAGTAGCTGCTGTTCTTGTTCTGCATTTTGAGCATCTGCTCATCCACCTCCTTCATGGACATGCGGCCTCGGAAGATGGCAGCTGCTGTCAGGTAACAACCATGGCGGGGATCACAGGCGACCATCATGTTCTTGGTGTCAAACATCTGCTGGGTGAGTCGGGCACTGAGAGAACATGGTACTGCTGGCTGGCCCGGCTGGTCAAGGGTGCAAGCCAGGCATGA